AAAAATTAAATTGGGAAGACAGTCAAATGATTTTCCGAAATGTACTGCGCTGTTTAACTGCGCAGTTATCTTCAAAAAATCATTTGACTGTCTTCCTGGTTGAATTTTTATCTGAAATTTGGTATGAGTAAACTAGACTTAATGAAGAAGATTCTTAAACAATTTCATCAAAAAATTCCACCGGAAACTTCCCCAATTGGCGACGGCCGGGCAGAACCTCCTATATGAGGGACTAATTGAACACTTTAAGTTAGTTCATGTACCTAATTGACATTTTAGCCAACAAATAGTGACGAATAACAACCAACAATGTCAACAAAAAAAACCATATTGTTGTTAGTTAAGTCTATGGTGTTATCAGTTAGGTTCTTCAGGAATACATGAGCACATTATAGAAGATAAATTAATCTTCATGGTGGAGTAGTTTATGACACATTGTGGCAGTAATATTTACTCATAACCATAAGAAATTCAATAGAAACTATAAGAAACCAGAAGCAGTTGAATAATGATAAAATAGGGAAGTATGAGATTACAAAGATAACAATTAGTAGTAGCAACTACATTTAAGCTCATTAGCTCCGAATAAAAATAATGAAAATCAGAAACTAAAAATAAGATTAACAAAACAAGTACACTAGTTTCTGAATTAGAAAGTATAAAAACTCGGTAGGCATGTACGGATAGAACCAGTAAAAAAACTGATAGCCAATAAATAATTACTTATCTCATAAAATTGAGGCACATTAATACCATCGCTATTATAACATTTCATCGAATAGTTGGTGGGCATAACTTAAGTTCAGTAACAACAATCAACTAAGACAGAACTTGAATTCAATATTTATTTCAACAAATAATTTGCATATTTAGAATAAGTTTCCATTACAAAATCATCGTTTACCAATCTTATCTAAACCATAAGTGATAAGCTCAAGATCACAAGAAGATACTACCTGCGTCCCATAAAATTCTTCCCAAAATTTATGGTTCTACATTTTCCAGTCCATTCGTTTGGTTTTGCTCTTCATAGTTATCATCTTCATAGGTACATGTGGTAATTTCTGAAGCCATTTTTGCAGGAGACGGAAAAGAAAACCTATGAGCATAGGCTCTTTCTGATATGAGAGTTTATATTCACAAACTTAGTTTGTTATCAAAAGTAAGTTCGTACCAATTGTTTTTTATAAATTCAAATAAATTTGGTAGAAACCTGTATGTATCCATATTGTTTTCTTATCCAATAAATCTACTGGTACAATGTCTAAGTCACGGAGCATCTGAACTATTACGCCATTTGAATTAACTTAGCCATTTGAAGTTTACTCTTGCTGCTACATTGCAGTTTTTTTATAAACATGTAATGCAAAAGGAATATACATCATGCTTGATAAAATGCATAGTTGAATTCACAGGTGAATGTTGCATTACATGTTGCTAATTTAGTTGCTAATAATAACTCGCTGGTTGTATATCTTAGTATTGAGGTGCAGTCACTTCTCAGAATATATTGATATTATAAATTCAGTAAAAAAAATCAGGTTGTAAATTGAGGTAAACAAATCTTAGTTAATAATTTTTCAAAGTTTGATTAATTTATGGGTCTTCCGCTATATGCCACTTAATTTTTCGAAGTTTGATTTCTTTTCCCACTATATGCCATTCTTTTATTAAGGTTCTTTGTTTTCTTGATTTATTAAGCTAACTTTTAGTTTTCCCATACATGTTTATAGTTTGTGTCTAATACAACCATCAAGAAACTGCTACAATGGTGACCGAAAAGCTTCATCAGTTTCAAAGTTTGGTTTCAATGAATACACTGTGGAAGAGACAACTATGTGGTCATGTTAAGTAGCTTTGTACTTTACTCATATTCAGTCGTGATTTAATATTTTGATGATTTTCTATTATTCCCCTAATATCAATAACAATGGTAGCATCTGCCTTGACATCTTGAAAGAGTAGTGGAGTCCTGCCTTGAAATTTCCAAGGTCTTAACTTTGAAGTTCTTTCACTTCTTTTTTTAGTAATAATGCTGATTGTTTTGATGCCTAAAAGTCAAATTCAGAAGTTCTAAATCTCTTTTTTCAAAAGGTTGCTTAGAAGGAAAATACTGCCTGATGACTCAAGTTGATATATGTTCTTTGATTCTTTTAATATTGCATGGAAGGTCCTCCATACCAAAGGAAAATGCTCTAATCTTCTTTCTGTTGTGTAGAAACACATATAAAGAAAAAATATTGATCTGCACAGAGGTTGAAGGCTTTAAATAATTTCAAAAGAGACTACACTTTTAAAAAATATTGATCTGCACAGAGGTTGAAGGCTTTAAATAATTTCAAAAGAGACTATACCTGTTTACTATCCAGAGGTATCACAGAAGTCCACCTTTATACTTATTCAAATTTCATGACATCCTATTATGTTGTACACCTGTATTTATCTGTTTGATTCCTAATATTTATGCAGCAAACATTGTTCCGGTACAGGCATATTTGTCAGATATATTGATACTTATTACTTATGACCCTTTTTTATTTACGATTCAAGTTATTTTTAGATTGTGGTTTTCATTAAGATATCCCAAACTTGCTCTTTTCACAATCTTTTATTGCTTTTTCTGTTGTTTGCTATTCTTATTAACTCCTTACCTATTTTACATTGGAATATTATCACTATTTTGTTTTTACTAATTCCAAGTTTTATACCTGGGGCTTGTGATTGGTTCAAAGATGGAGTCTTTTAGAGTTTATATGGGCCCATATGCTCAATTTATTTTCATGTATATCCCGAGGTTGTTTTCAAGGGTGTCTTCAATATGGACATTGCAACATACACTTTGTTATATCTTCCTTTTTTTTTGTTTCTAACCTAAACTCTGCTTTTAAAAAAAATCAACTCTGCTTTTTCCTTTGCTTTTCTTTCAGTTTTTGTTTGGGAATTTGGTTAATGAGACCAAAGGAATTTTCACATGTTAACTCTATTAATTTGTCCAAAAAACTATTACAAACTCAAATACCACGTACACTCTCAAAGTGGATTTATCATTGTCATTTACATGATTCTCTAAACTAATATTTACTATCAGCTGGATCTTTTTATGATGTTATTTTGACATATTAAGTGTTTCTTGCTTTGGTAAAATTATTTTAATTAGGTGTGAATATTGTCATACAATTATCAGCATTTTCTATATCGATTAGTTATCCTAAAATGCATTTCAATATTTTACCAGCAATTAAAGCAGACTACAAAGAAACTAAATAAAAAGGAGATAAGTATCTACTTCAGTTTTAAAGTGTACATTTATGTATAAGTGTATAACCATTAAAATGTCATCCCTTCCTTAAGGGTGGACCGATCGTAACCGGAACAGGTCAATTCCCAGTATCGGGATTGTTTTGGGCGGTTAGGGTTGGAGTCTTGGAGATGACCTCGGGGGCAGCTCACGGGTGACAGTCTTGACCTGTGTTTTTGGACCGGACTGGCTGGTTCAGTTTTTTTTTTTTTGCATTTCAAGCATTATGCGCATTTTAAAAGACGCGTAAATATTGATATTCTTCGCGCAATGATTCCATCCCACACTCAGATGAATAAATATTGCCCAAATGCAACTTTCTTATGCCATCCTATTTTTATATATTGAGAGATGTATTTTCACTTTCCTCAATCAAAAATTTGATGGGCTAAACTTTTTTGATGTGACGATGAAAGAAATCTAAATTGCAAAAAACTTTTAAAGTGGGTATTTATTAAAATTTATTGTTGTTTATGTATGATTTTACGCATTTTAATTCTATAATAGATTCATAAATGTGTTTATAATTAACTTTTATAATATTTATAAATTACATCCCGTGCAATGCACATGTGAAATATATTTTCATAAATGTGTTTGTTTATTAGCAATTACAACACATAAAGGTTAAATCCCGTGCAACGCACGGGTGAGATTAGGGATGGACTCGGGCCGGGTGGCCCGACCCGGAACCGGCCCGGGTGGCCCGACCCGGAACCGGCCCGGGACCAGTACTGTTCCGACCTGGCCCGACCCGGTGGCCCGGTCAGTGACCGGTCCGGGTAGGCCCGGCCCGTGGGTTTTCCGGTCCGGGCTCGGGTCACCCAAAACAAGGCCCGACCCGGCCGAGCCCCGGCCCGGTTCGGGCCAAAAACTATTTTTTTTCAATTTTTTTAAATTTTCGGGTTGGGCTGGGTATTTTGGGCCATTTGGGGTGGTTTGGGGGGTTGGGGGTGGGAGGGGGGTTAATTAGGAAGAGGAAAAGAAAAAAAAATATAATGGGCCCGGCCCGGCCCGGACCCGGTGGTTACCCGGCCGGTCCCGGGTCCACCATTTCTGACCCGCCGGCCCGCCCGGGCCTAGGCCCGACCCGGCCCGGACCCGAGTCCATCCCTAGGTGAGATACTAGTATTTTCTAAAACAAAAATTCGACATTTTTGGGGCCTTCAAGAAATTCAAAACTCTTGTTGAAAATGAAAGCTGGTTTGAACCAAAATCCACGAGATCCATTCGAGGGGGAACTAACTTCAAAGGAATTTGAAAATTATTGTGAAAAAAATGGTATTCATCGCCCCTTAACAGTTTCATATACTCCACAACAAAATGGAGTTATTGAAAGAAAAAATCGGTTTCTTCTTAATATGGCTCAAAGCATGCTTAAAAGTAAAAATGTTCCAAAAGAATTTAGGCCGAAGCCTTGGATTGTACAGTTTATTTGTCAAACTTGTCCCCTTCTTGAAGTGTGTGGAACATAACCCCCGAACAAGCATGAAGAAAACCTGAATTTTCCACTTGAAATTTTTTGGGAGTATCGCTTGTACTCATGTGCCGGACCAAAAAAGGAGCAAATTGGATGACGGAAGCGAGAAGTTTATTTTTATTGGCTACGATGCAAGAGTAAAGGGGTACACATTATACAACCCAAACAATAGAAAAAGTGTGGTTAGCCGCGATGTTGAGTTTGAGAAGAAACCACTCAAGATTGGACTCGTAAAGAATATTACTTCATAGAAACCGTGGTCAAGTTTATTACTAACATTCATTCATTCATTCAAGGTGCACTTTCTTGCTATGCACATTACACTTAATGATAAGTTACAGCTAAAAGGGGATTAAATCTGGCCTGAACCCATTTAAATGGAATCGAGCTGCTTTATAGTCTGTCTCTAATGCACATACCATTCATAAAACATAGAGTTCGTGAACATGCTGAGTAATTGCTTCCGGGCATGACTGAGCTCGTAGAAGCTCCAACCGATTCGAGTGTGCAGTGAACTGCAAGATGTAATCTTCATCTGTGCAGAAACACACAAAGAAGTTCATAAAAATGAAAATGATCAACTCCTCCAACTGACTACTCCTCCCACTTTTCATTTCATCTGCTGAATAAGAGTTAGGTACATCGGTACAGGGATTAAGAATGTCATTTACTGCGCCTTAAAAAAGGCAAAAAGTGTTGTGGTGAAAAGGGCGAAGTTGGAAAGAGAGTTTTAATGAATACTCTTGGTGATCGAAAAGTGACAGTTAGAATGAAAGAAATCATGTTTTTTATGTTACAATTAACAGAAGAAAGTTGATCACATAGAAAGTTTGACAAAGAATTCTTACTTTCCTTCACTGTCCCATAAAGCCAGCATAAGACCTCATCTAAGAAAGCAAGGCATACTCCGCCCTGTTAAAACAAAAAAGACCCAAGTACACATCGTTAAACTGGCCTTTCTGCTTAAAAAATATGTTGCGACTGTTGGTACCACAAAAAACTGCGTGCAAACCATACCCCCTCTCCCCTGTTCTAAAAATCTCCAAATAGGCACTCCGCAAGTTATCAGTAACACATCAAACAACAACATTCAAACCTTAGTCCCAAAAGATTTTAGGGTCGGCTAAAATGAATCGATGCGTGATATCTGGGGCCAAAAGGAAAAGAAAGATAAGAGAGATAAAAAGATAAGGTAAGATAAAAATGATAAGATAAAGACAAAAATGCTAAGATAAAGGGATAAAAAAAATAAAGGGTAAAAGGATAAAGAACATAAGAAGCATAAAGAAAATAAAAAGGTAAAAGAAAATGACACATAAAAGAGAGAAAAGAGATCAATCCTCCACAACATTTGTCTTCCACTTTGCTCTCTCCAAAGTCATACTCTCACCCAACCCAGAAGAAGCATATCATACTTGATTCCTCTAATCCACGTCTGGTTGGGTCTTCCTCTCCCATCTTCCCCGCCTCTTCTTCCCTTCTTTCAACTCATATAATAGGTGCATCACTCGGTCTTCTACGCACATGACCAAACCACCTTAACTTAATCGAGACTACTGCAGCTAATCTTCCTCAAGCGGTCTTTTCTGGTATATCCACACATCCAACGTAGCATGTGTATCTGTGCCACACTCTCTTTTGAATGTGACATTGTTCCACCGTCCAACACTCTACGCCATACAACACGCACTATTTTTCTTTAGACAATTCAAGAGTACGGGTTTTCTATATAACGTCCCCATTGTCATTCCAATATGACAATTCACAATAGCCACCCTGTGTATTTATTATACGGAGTATGTGTTTCGGCAAAGAGTGGTGAATACCTGCCAATAACCTTTGAGTTTTACCCTTTGTGTGATCTCATTGGTTCTCATTCTTTCAGTCCGGACAAGGAAACCATTATCATCCCTGCATGAATGTCAAAATGCGCAAACATATTGACATATTCAAAATTGCAATATCATCATACACGATGAGAACCCTACAGTAGCAGCACTAAAACAGCAATTCTGAAATACTAAAGGAAAAAGAGGTTGAAAAAGTGCATGTGTTTTTGTTCAAACAACAAAAAGGGAAAAAGAAATAACTGGGGGCATGATGATCTCAGCACAGTAAAATCTACCTAAATCCAACAACAATGTATTCCACACCAGCAATGAACGACTGGATCTGAAAAACAAGAATGAAAATTGAAAGATACATGATGTTAAGACACACTATGAATGTTAGAGTCAAGTTTCATCATAATAATTAACTCTTTTCAGGTGTTTCACATTAAGGCTATTTTTGGAACTTAAAAATGGCAGGAAAGGAAAAAATACTAAAGCAAAATGGTTTTGTATGCTTGGTCTATTTTACCTTAAAAAATATCAAGGGCTACCAAATTTCATTAAAACTTTTAAAACTCTTAAATGTATTCGGATTTCTTTGAAGAAATATTCAAGTAAAATGACTTCGAAAAATATCTAAAACTGATAGATTGAGCTTGAAGCAACTTGTACTTTCCCTCATATTTTAGTTTTCATCCAAATTTCTATTCTACTACCTATATTTTTTCCATTGAATTTTTTGTAGTTCCAAAAAGACCCTTCGAAACAAGAGACATTGTTAGTCAGTGGAGTATTGACCAATCAGTTAAGAATGCAGTAGCATAAGCAATATTTATTTCTCACTATTGCAAATTATTGGTTTCTACTAGTTTAACTAACTTTAACATCAGCAGCATATTCCTATTTCATTTCACATTTCTTGTTCTTTTTATATGATTCTCAATTCTCATATATTTCACAACTTATCATGCATTTACATTAAATGCCAAATTATACATGGAGTTGCTGCACATACATATTCCACAAAAATATTGATATCGCAGGACAGATGCAAGGATATATACATGTGTACTCTTCAATCAAAATGTCAACAAAAGAGTAATACCCAGAACTTGAGCAGTTTCTCCCTCTCAAATTTTTCCTCAGTATGATGGTCCAACAACTGCAGGCAGGAGGGAAAAGGAAGGAAAATTTTAGAGTTGAATTCCAAAACTAAACACAAATCGGGGGGGTTGTGTTACCTCCCGGCTTGTTTTTAGTTCAATATAGAATCTTTTTTCATCGTTATCCCTTGAATCACAGCAATCTATTTCAGCCCCCAGCAAAACACGGTGAGCTCCTATTTTGGTTTTAAGTACAGAACAGAATTCGACATTTGCATCAATGTCACAAATCCGTTCTCTACCATGATCTTCAGTGGCCAGGCTTTCAAAACAATAGCCCCAGTAACACCTGAGGAAGACTCAAGAGGGGCCCACAGGGAAGAGTTTAAGGATTATGAACAAAAAAGTGATTAGGAATAAATCAACAAGAAAAAAGTGTTCATCATCATCAACATTCAATAAGATTGGACAACTACATTTCCAAGAGCAATGATGCATATTTTTTCTTTTACCTTCTTCTATCTAGATCACTTTTTGGCCTTTCCGGTAATTTGTGCACATCCAGGTAAACAACACCTTTCCTTTTGTGAACTCCCATTTCCCAAGGCTCATTCCTGATATAGGCAGTAGCCATTATCTGTAGAAAATAAAGATTTCATTAAGGGATGAATAATTATGTATCCAAGCAGACCCAGAAGGTCTAAAGTACTATCTAACAAAGTTTAGAATAAGGAGGAATTGAGACTGAAAAGCTTGATTCATTCCATGAAATGATATCCTATTTATACAACATTTTAGAGCTAGGCTACTAATTATAATATTAAATACAAAGATTTGTAACTGAAATATTAAATACAAATATTCTAATTTATTTTGTAACTCATGTAACTGATCTCTAGAGCTGTCTAGACTCTTCTGTCTATATGCCCCCGCAAGCCAGGTATTCTATCAGTGCTGAGAATCCTGAGCTTGTCACGTAGAAAAACAAACCGTTGTCGTGAAAGGGGTTTGGTGAGAATGTCAGCTAGTTGATCATGCGAGGGGATATGAAGAACCCGAAGAAGGCCACGTTGCACACGTTGACGAACAAAATGGAAATCAATGGCAACATGTTTCATTCGGGAATGGAATACCGGATTGGCAGAAGAGGTGGTAGCGCCTTTATTATCACATAAAAGAACTGGAGGAGAAGAAGGGGAATGTCGAAGCTCATGAAGAAGTGACTCAATCCAAAGAGTTTCAGATGCAGCAGTGGATAGGGCCCGATACTCTGCTTCGGTTGAGGATTTGGCAATTGTGCGTTGCTTGGAGGACTTCCATGAAATAAGCGATTCTCCGAGAAAAATGGCATAAGCACTGGTAGAGGATCGGTCATCTGGATTTCCCGCCCAGTCTGCATCAGCATAAGCACACAATGAAAGGTGAGAACTCCAACAGAGATATAAACCTGAGAGGCTGTTCCAGGAAGATACCGCAAGAGACGTTTCATGAGCTGCCAATGGTTCACCGTGGGTTTGTGCATAAACTGGGCTAGCTTGTTGATGGCAAAGGCCGTATCAGGTCGGGTGAGGCTTAAATACTGAAGTGATCCAATAACTTGACGATAGAGAGTGGCATCACAAGAACCTGAGCTATCAAACAGAGTCAAGGAAGCTGAGGAAGCTAAAGGCGTGGATACTGGATTCGCCTCGTGCATGTTCAACACCTGTAATAAATCTGTAATGTACTTGTGTTGATCAAGAAAGAGTCCATCTGATGTAGGGGTAACCTGTATGCCCAAAAAGTAATGTAATGACCCCAAATCCTTAATGGAGAATTTTTGTGCTAATAAGTTAATAGTCCGATGAATCAAGTCTGGTGTAGAGCCCGTAACAATAATATCATCCACATATACCAACACATAGATATAAGAGGGATGAGAAGAAAAGATGAAGAGGTTGGCATCAGAGACTGATTGATGAAAACCAAGGGATAATAGAAATCCACTAAGAGATTGGTACCATACTCGAGGTGCTTGTTTGAGACCATAGATGGATTTCCTAAGACGACACACTCTTCCAGAGCCATCATTGAAACCAGGGGGTTGTTTCATGTAAACCTCCTCTTGAAGAGCACCATGTAGAAAAGCATTGTTGACATCTAGTTGGTTTATGTGCCAGCCATGAGAAAGTGCAATGGTCAGAACAACCCGAATAGTGACTGGTTTGATGACTGGGCTAAAGGTCTCAGAGTAATCAATCCCCGGGCGCTGATGAAAGCCTTTAGCCACCAATCGAGCTTTGAAACGATCCAAGGAACCATCGGGCTTATATTTCACAGTATAAACCCATTTGCAGCCAACAATGTTCTGACCAGGATGAGCGGGTACAAGTTCCCATGTCCCTTGTTGAACCAAAGCATCAAATTCCACAGACATAGCCTTCCTCCATTCAGGTACCTGTAAAGCTTGAGAAGCACAAGTAGGAATAATATGATGAGGTAATGGTGAGTGTGTGACAACATTAGCTTGTTTACGAGAACGAAGGGTCATTGGGTGGGTACGTTTGGGTGGAGAGGCTTTTGGATCATGATGATGACCCAAGGTAGATATGGGATTATTTGTAGTGGGAGTAATGGTTGAGGGGTTGGTGTTGGGTACATTAGGTAAGGATGGAGTAGTTGGGTTTTGTTTGGGCCGGTGGTGATAAGTGATGAGGACCGGTGGGTTAGAAGCTGGAGGAGTGTTATGAGGAGCAGGGTTAGGGGAGTTGTGTTATTGGGGTACGAGTAGTAGGAGACGCCTTTGCTAGTGATGTACCTGAGATAGGAAGATAAGAGATAGGAGGTTGAAGCCAACTGTCAATTTCAGAGGACAGATCTGTAACGGGTGTTGTATTATTAGAGAAAGGGAAGACAGCCTCATTGAACACCACATGCCGACTAAAAAAGATGCGATTGGTAGTAGGATCAAGACAGCGATAAGCGCTTTGTTGATCGCAATACCCAAGGAAAATACAAGGTCTGGACCGTGGTTCTAACTTATGAGCTGCATAAGGACGGAGCCATGGAAAACATTGACATCCGAAAATAGCAAGTTTTGTGTAATTGGGAGGTTTTTGAAAAAGTTTTTCATAGGGAGTACAAAAACCTAGAGATGTTGTTGGTTGCCTATTAATTAGATATACAGGAGTTAAAAAGGCATATGACCAATATTTTAACGGCATAGAAGAGTGGTGGAGTAAAGTGATCCCTGTTTCTACAATATGACGATGTCGGCGTTCAGCGAAGCCGTTATGCTCAGGGGTATATGGAGGGGTCAGTAAGTGAGTAATACCACAAGAGGCCAGAAATTTCCCTAGGGATATGTATTCACCCCCTCCATCTGAATAAACCATTTTAATAGATTTTTGAAAAAAGTTTTCTACGATCTTCTTAAATTGTTGAAAAATTGAAGTTACCTCAGACTTGTGAGTGATAGTGTAAAACCAAATGTATTTTGTGTAGTGATCAACAAAAATAACATAATAATGAAAACCATCCACAGAATTAATGTGTGAGGGACCCCAAACATCTGTATAAATTAAATCAAGTGGACCTGAACTGGAAAGGGAAGATTTAGCAAAAGGTAACTTGTGACTTTTATTACTTGCGCATGAAGTGCATAAGGACAAATCCTTATTAACATCTTTAAAGGAAATACCTAATGAGGAAATAACTTTTTGAGTGATGGGAAGGGCAGGTCGTCCTAAACGACAATGCCATTTATTTAGAGAAAATTTTGTAGTAACATTGACACATGGTGATGAAGGAACAGGAACATCAGGCAAGCTGTAGACGTCACCTTTATTCATACCCCGTAACAAAATTGCTCCCGTTTTCCGGTCCTTGACAAGACAAAAAGAAGGGTGAAACTCGATTAGTACATCATTGTCACGACATAATTTGGCAACTGAAATTAAATTAGTATGAATAGAAGGAACAAAAAGAGTATTAGGTAAGGAGAGAGAATGAAATGTCATATTCCCAACTTGTGCAATTTCAAGACTTTTACCGTTACCAATAATGAGGGAGTCTGTGCCGGTGTAATCGGACGCAGGGTAAGATTGTTTAAATTATTGGTGACATGATTAGTTGCTCCCGAGTCCAGCAACCATCCGGTTCTCCTGGTCGTGGCAGTATTGGCCTGGGGGGATAATTTTGTTGTTCAAACCTGTGCCAACAGTTTATAGCGAGATGGTTCGGTTTGCTACAAATTTGACATATAACGGCACCCGGACTGGTATTTCCCCAAAAATTAGTACGCCTGCCCCCGGGATTATTATTTCCACGTCGATTTGAATTGTAGAAGTTGTTGGGACGTGGGCCTCGATTTTGATTTTTGAAAAATTTATTCTGAGTATTGGGCCTATTGGGTAGAGTCTGAAACTGGGCTGATGGACCTGGGCCTAATATAGACGCGTTCTGGTCTATACTTCTGCGAACGGTCATTGCGACCGAACTGTCTTCTTCCTCTTTCCTTTCTACCGTAGCTGCGTTCGCAGTAACAACAGCCGCGGAATTCAAGAGCTCCCTCCTTCGCAACTTGTCTTCGAATCTGACCAGTAAGGAGTGGAGTTCTTCGAAGTTAGTTTCATCTGGGCAGATGGAGTTCTCCACAGATTCAAACTCGGGACGAAGACCCTCCAAGGCTTGAATGGCAAAGTCTTCATCGTCAACAGGTCGGCCGGCCATGGCTAGTTCATCCGCGAGGGTGCGAAGGTGGTGAAGATATTCTGCTACAGGTTGCGACCCCTGTTTAGCATGGCGGAACTGGTCTTTAAGACTTTGAATTTTGGAAGCTGACCGGGTCCCGTATAGGCGTTCCAGTGTTTTCCAGACGGAGGCGGAGGTCTTTGCAGACCCAACCAGCGGTTTGCAGGCGGGACTGAGAGAAGATACAAGGGCGTGCCGCACCAGACGATCATGTCTCTTCCATCGCAGAAAGTTGGCAGCTTCAGTTTCTGGAGGAGGACTGATTTTTTCATCAATATACTGATCTAGATGAGACCCGAACAGAAGGTCCATTACTTGGTCTCTCCATACAAGGTAATTTGATCCATCTAGTTTTTCTGGGAATTGGTTAGGGCTGAGCATAAGAAGGTCATCCGGAGTTAGGGGATTATTGGCTGAGAGAGATGATGTTGAGTTATCATTCACGTCTTCTGGACTTTTGTCTCTATTATTTTCATGAGCTATGGGCAGAGAAAGGTGATGCGGGGGGATAGTTCAGTGAAGAGAATAGGCCGTTTAGGCCTCTAGAGGCTCTGATACCATAACAAAGTTTAGAATAAGGAGGAATTGAGACTGAAAAGCTTGATTCATTCCATGAAATGATATCCTATTTATACAACATTTTAGAGCTAGGCTACTAATTATAATATTAAATACAAAGATTTGTAACTGAAATATTAAATACAAATATTCTAATTTATTTTGTAACTCATGTAACTGATCTCTAGAGCTGTCTAGACTCTTCTGTCTATACTATCAAAGTCATACATCAACAATCAACCAACAGTGGGAAGGAGGATTACCTTATTCAAGTTGTTGCGGAATGTCTGCCAAATAAACAAGGGGGGAAACTCATCAAGAGTTAAGGTCTTTTCAGCTAACGAATAAATGCAAGCACAACATATACAACATTCTTACCACAAAGTGCATCCTTTCAAGTGAAATTTCCTTCTTCTTGTGCCTAATGCAGGCAAGAAGGTCACCAAAACCCTGAGATCCCAGATCTTTGAACAGAGCGTCAGATATAAGAGTAAAAATGACTACACAAAACCAAAATTTCCACTTTGCTGAATGCAATCCTTAACGTACCTCCCTTCTCAATGAAAGTATCAAAGCCTTCATTCAGGTCAGCCCCGATATCTTCAGTAATAAGACGTTTAAATAGCCTCTGGGAAAGAAAAAAATATGCACTCGTAATAGTGAGTGAGTGAGTGGGTGGGTGGGTGGGTGGGTGAGTGAGTGACTGAATGAATAAATGAATAAATCAATAAACGCAAGAAGATTTTGTAATGCTAGAAGATAAGTGTACAATAAACCTGTAAAACGATTGCATACCAAGCTACTATCGTCAAAGTAGACGTCTCCCCCTTCCACTCGACTATAGCAAGCAAGTTCGCAAGGCTAATCACATTATGGACCAAGTAAAACTTCATTATATACAAGATTAAATATTGATCAAACTAAATATTAAAGAAAGGTTTTGTTCACAATAAGTATAGCTTTACAAATCCAAGACAAAATTTAATTCTATTCCCATTCGTTTCCCTTTTTTATTAAAAAATAAAGAAGAGAATGTGTTCAATAATAGTAGGAGTAAAAGGGGTAATATTGTCAAAGAAATCCATTAAATGATCTCTTAATCAGCGTAATTTCCTCAAATGGTGATACTTGGGAACATGAGGGAGCACATATCATCATCCCCCCCAAGTTTCTTCTCTCTATCTCTCTCTCTCTCTCTCTCTCTCTCACTCGCACATTGAAACTAAGGAATGATGAACAACCTGTTGGATCGCAGTGGACTTTCTTGCCAATGTTTCTTCACTCTTTGCAAACTTAAGCTCAGAAACAAAACGCTCATCGCGAGGAACATTGGGGAGCTTGGAACCATAATTGTAACTCTGTCTTGGTGGATAATTGGGAGAAGGAAGAATGCCATTCCCTCTACCATTCTGCCAACGTCCACGCCCAATACCTCCTCTTGATGGGTTGTTTATATTACGCACTGGGGGCAAAACTGAAATCGGAGATGCAAAATAATAGTGTCAAAATCGAATGTACATATTTCAGCTTATCTTCTCCAGTAGGCACTAATGATGATTGTTGGATTGACATGAAATAAAAACTTGTGGCATTTGGAAAAGAACCATCTTATTTCTAATAGCCGGTTACTTTTTCAACTTCCAAGGAAGTAAAAAAATGTCTACTTTTGGGGGGGTCAACAGCTAGTTGAAATGGCAAGCCCATGAATACTACTTTGAACTAATTGGAGAGAAAATCACTTTATAGCTAGTACGTAAATTATTTATCCATATTGGACATAAAACTAATGAGCGAAGAATATACTGGAGGAAGGATATCATTGCAAATGGAAGCTGACAAAGAAGATCAGCAACAACTATTGTTCAAAATGTGCATATTCAAAATTTTGAATATCACCCTCCCCCCTCCTCCTTCCAAACCGTACTGAAACCCATAGCTTTATTTAATATAATAAAAATAAAGACAAAAAAAACAGGACATTCACAGTTTACTAGCTTCAAAACAATTGAAGCCACTGCAAAGCGCACATGCAAAAAATAGAGACCTAAATTCACTAGATCACATATATGAATATAATTCAGAACCAGAAGGCATACTCAAATCCAAAATCACAACTCAAGCATATGAATTGGGAGATACCAGGAACTGGGTAGGGACTAGTAGCATGTGTTTTTACATACTCCTCATTATCTGAGCCAAACAGATCCTTATCCTCATCCTCAATCTCATATCTGTGATCACTACTAATAACATCATTATTAGAAGACCTGACTTCCCCATTATCGTCTTCTTCTCTGCCGCTGTCGCTTCCACTCCCACTAACGCTGCTACTTCTATTGGAAGACGACGGTGAAGAACCACCCGAAGAGGCGGATGAGGAGGAGGAGGCTGCGGAGGACGATGAAGAAGACGATTGTGAGGCTGATGACTGGCGCTGCTGTGGAGGGTGCTGTTGCTCGTCGTTTGAATAGTTGTCTCCGTCTTCATCTTCCCCAAACAGCTCAACCGCAAAGTTGGTATTCATTACCTGCTCCTCTCCCGCTATCTCTATATGCTCGCAGATCGAATGTCACCTGATCTGTTAGATCTTTAGGGACAAACGCATTTACGACCTTAAAGTCACGGTGGCAACTGCTGGCAGCTGCAAGTAGGAATGGCCGAATGGGCACGGTTCAGGAGTCAGGACCTAAAATGGGTGATCAACTTTGCTTGGTGTAACTTTGTTTACACACAGGACATGTACACAGGTGTATTATACCAAGCAAAGTTGTTTTTCTTGGGTGATCTAGTTATCACTTAAATGAGGAACAAGACAAGACATTGTCATATTTATGTGGGAAGAAGTGTGCAAATAAACTCTCGAACTAAATGAAAAAATGAAATTTTCTTGATATCAAATTTTAGCTAAAAATTCAACTGCAAGTTATCTTCAAACATTTATTTGACTATCTTCTCGATTGCATTTTAGCTGAAATTTGGTATGGGTAAACTAGACTTAATGAAGAAGATGTTCAAAAAATCATTAAAAATTTCCACCGTTAACCTCTCCAAATGGCGACGGCCGGACAGAACCTCCTATAAAAGGGTGATTTTCACTTTTTCGATTAGTTCGAGAGATTATTTGCCCATTTTCCCTATTTATGTCGGACCTCCTTCGGGCACCCCAAAATTTACTACACGCACCCTATTTTCGCTTTTGTTGGACCATTTTATCCTCTTTCAAAATCGAACTCGATCAGGTAGCGACCAAAGTACCAAACCCCTTGTATTGCTTTTTATTCTTTTTTGTTGAAAATTATTGCTTTTTAAATTAAAAAAATGATTTCTATATTTCCTTGAATTTTGTTATAACTTTATTTTTAAAAAATGATTATCTTTAAAATATACTCAAAATCTGAATATAATCAGGATTACGAATTCTAATTATCATTGAACAATTATTATATAAATATTTGTAACACATTATAATGCTTTTATAATTTTTTTACAATTTTCTTTTTACGATGCATGGGTGATGAATATGAAGATTATCTAAAAAATACAGAGTAGTAATATTGACTTCCAAACTGAAGAGATATTTATTTACCTTTATTCATATTACGTGTTAATCAGTTCATCTGTCCCACTAGGCGTATTTCATTTTTTCTTTTTGATTGGTTCCATTAAGTTTGGGTGTTCAGTGATATTGGGGTCTCCCAGAACTTCCACCGGTATGATGAGAGGTGATTATGACCATTTTGATAATAATTTGATGTTTGGATAGTTGGTTGGTTTTGAAACTTTTTGTTCAGTTTCCCACACACGGCACCAATGTTGAGGTTAAGTCCCGCAGATCCGAAAGCTCAACACACACTTTGGATATTTCAGGATGTCGATAATAAATTGAGGGTATAAGAAAATATAAAAGCTGAATAATAATATGCTCAAAAGCCCACTTGTATTAAGCAATTCGCTGATTACACAGGAAACATCCCGAACGGTACGTCGGAATAGTGATTAATACAATAACAAGAATGAGAAAGCTATTCTAGGCTTTGAGTATCAAAATGCTAACCCTTTACAATGAGATTAATCCCTCTATTTATACTAATGGGGATATGGGGTGCTCCATGCCGATTGGTTGTTAATCCATCCACTTGAATGCCCATGCTTCCACTGGTTGATGCCATACTCTAGCATTTATTGCTCCTTGCCACTTGCCAGCTATCTATTAGCCTGGTTGACCCGATCCCCGTTCGGGGCAGATATCTCTCTGGGCCTGTTCTTCGTCTGGTTTCCCGGCTATTTATTGGACTGGATACTTTGGGCCTTTGGCCCGGGTATTGGGCCTTCTGTCCAATATCCCAACACGAGTCCCCCACTTCCGATGTCTCTAATGGTAGTGAGTGCATAAGGAAGTAGAACTTGTATGTCGAGTGTCGACCGGGGTCCAGATCTCGTTGGTTCCCTATGTCATGAGTTAGTAGCTTGTTGCGGCTGTCGTTTGATTTTTTCCATAATTGCCATGATTATTGGCCTTTGTTCTCCCATGTGACACATGTTTTTTCAGACGCTCCCGCTGACGTGTCTCCCTCTGTTTGGTCAAGGAATCAGCGCTTATCTGGCTATAAATAGGTCTTTTGCTCTCCGGTTCTGGGTTTCGAATTTCCAGTTCCTTCGTGTTTTTGCTCTGCCTTCTCTCTATGACTCCCAAGTTTTCGAGTGTTCAGGTACTTCCTGTCCCTTACTCGTTTTTTCTATTCTTGGTTCTGTTCAGTATGTCTTCTCAACCGTGTTCCCCCGATTCGGAACCGTCCTCCCAAAGGGATGTTCATGATGCTGCTGCCGGGAATGCTATAGCCGTTCCTTTTGCCGATGTAGTCAATGAAGCGGCGGAGGGTGCTAGTGCAGCGGCGGAGGATTCTTCCGATGACTCCTCTTCTTCCGGCGATGAATCAGACGACACCAAATCTGATGATGAGATTGCTTCCATGGCGGCCGGCCCCCCGGACGATGTCCCTCGCTACAAGATTGACCTAAATTTGATTAAAGAGAAGCAGCAGAGACTAACCTCTCATAACAGGGACCAAATCCCAGCCCTAATCCTGGATCTAGTGGACTTTCATCTCTGGGCTGGGCTTCACCCAATGCGCCATCTTCCTGGGATGGTAATAGTCCACTTAGACTCAGTGAAAGGTGGGCTTAGGTTTCCATTACACCCGTTCTTCGTATCCTTCTTTAACTTCTATGAGGTAGTACCGGCCCAAGCCATGCCAAATTCCTACCGAGTAATGGCCGGCTTCATTTGTCGTTGTGTGGATGCCAAGGCCACGCCCCGTTTAGAGTTATTTCATCATTTTTTTAAAGTGGCCCTCAACAAACACATGGGTTTCTGGCTGCTAGTGCTCGTACGGGTCACATACTCTTCACCGATAAACTGACTTCCATTAAGGGGCGAAAGGATCGGTTTTTCTTTGTCTCCATCCCGGACGGTCTAATCCCGAAGAAATGGAATGCTTTTACCCGCAAAACTCCAGAACCGTTGCTTACCGAGGAAATTAGCAAGGTTGTCTTCGACTCTTCGTCGTGGAACGGGATAAGAAATGCAACATCATGAAGTACCTAACTCCCGATCAGCTTGTCAATGCCGAGATAGGTACTGCTCGTATTCGTGGGTCTACTAGACTGAAAACCAAGTGCCATGGGCCGGGCGGTCCTTCCCGTGCGAGAAATGTTCCGTTTCTCTTTGTTTTCCACGTGATAAGACCGTCTGGTACTAACCTTTTCCTTTGTTATTTTTTCAGCTCCCAACCCAGACACTTCCATGGATGACAGTCGTGTGCTTGCATCCGGTGGAGTGGGGAAAAGGAAGAAAGCTAGGAAGAACAATCAACCCCAACAATCTACTGTTGCTCCACAGAGTGTCGAGCAACCTCATCCCGTTCAAGAGGTCCAACCTATCCAACAGGTTCCTCTTCATCAGGACCAATTTGAGGATATGCTGATTGACGACCGGTTCGGGTTAGATCAGTTGCACCAATTTTTTGAGCATTTTCAAGCTGCTTAGGAGGTGAATCTGGATGCCGAACAGGCTAATGTTGCCAGCGTGACAGAGCAAGTCCGGCGAATTTCCCTGGAGGACCCGGTCCAAGAGATTTTGGAAAGGGCTGGTTCCTCGGGCAGCCAGATCTGGACTACTTCTGTCTTTTTCAACAATTTCCCTTTGCCTAACCTCCCGATCGATCGGGCAGAAGAATGCGTTGCTTTGACAGCTTTGAAGGTATTTGCTTTCCCTCCTCTTTGTTCCATTTCATAATTTAAGGGCTTTTCTTCTCCTTATTTATCCTTGATTCTCGAAATGTTTCAGATGGGGCTGTGTAGTCTGCACCTGAGGGAGGCCCGTTTAGCCAAAGAGCGGGATCTGATCATTGCTCAGACTTCGGTCGAACAGGCTGCCACTGTTGCCCTTGCAAACTCTGAGGCCGAACGGAAGGCCTTTGCTGAAGAGAGGCAGGGTTTGAGAATGATCTGGGCAGGCTTCGGGTTCAGCTGGCCGCTGCCCAGGCTAGCTAAAGTTTCTGCAACTGAGGCCGTTCAGGTTAGGTTTGAAGAAAAGGCCCCCCCGCATCCCAGATGGTCCTACTGAGGTGAATGTGGATCTGTCCTCCGTTCGAGAGGCGTTCAAATCCTCTGATGAATTCAATGTCATCAAGGAGGACTATGCCCGACAACAGCTCCCGGTAACTTTTGGGGCTTATCTTGATCAATTCCCCCGGGGCGACATCCGGCGTACGGAAGGCGTGAAGCTGCTTGATCGGGACCCTCAGGGTAAACATTTCAACGACTCCCTAGCCAAATCTCTCTATGTCATGGGTTGTCAGCACATTCTGCTCCCCTTTTTGACCAAGCTACAACAATTGCTGGGCATACCCATTCAGCCTTCTGATCTCCCTTTGGTCCCCATCGTCGAGGCTCAGTATGACAAATATCTACGGGACCTGCAACGGGCCGCCGATCGTGAGGTGGGAAAAGAGCCTGAACCCCCCTCTGATTCAGATGAAGGTGAGGATGAATATGATGAAGGTGATAAGAAGGCCCCCAGCCAGTAGATGAGCTGAGTTTTCCCTTGATAATTGTAATTTTCCGCTTTTGAAATGATGATCTTTGTATTTCCCGGCCAGTAGAGCCGATGAATATATATCGAACCTTTTTTGCCCAATGTTTTATTTACTTTCCTTTTTCGTCTTTGCCATCTGGGATTCGACCGGTTTTATAGGACTTAGCCGTTTCTCGTGTTCTTTGATCATTCTTTATCTTGCCATCCGGGATTCGGCCAGTTTTATAGGACTTGGCTGTTTCTCATGTTCTTTGATCATTCTTTATCTTGCCATCCGGGATCCGGCCAGTTTTATAGGACTTAGCCGTTTTTCGTGTTCTTTGATCATTCTTTATCTTGCCATCCGGGATTCGGCTAGTTTTATATGACTTAGCCGTTTCTCATGTTCTTTGATCATTCTTTATCTGTTTTTTCCCGATCCGGATCATTCAGACTACGGGTTTGGGGAATCCTACTTTCAAACTATTGGTAGGATTCTCTGTTCGGGTTATTTCCTGCCTATAGCTAAAGTAGAGACACCTCCAAACCATTAGCTTGAATTCTATATTTTTCCGTTCGGGTTTTAAAGACAAAATCATCTGTGTTACCGAATGCCGCTTGGATCGTTCATATTTATTGATTCCCGTTCGGTCATTGTCCCCTTCGGGGTGATTGTCTTATCCTTTTGCTTGGTGTAATCATATAGACTTGTATCA